CACAGAAATGGGATTGTTAAATTCACGCACAGCCTTGTAACATTTCAGTTAAATACACCTTTTGCAACATTGCAATCACTTTCTCACTGACCCTAGCCAGGCACACATCTCTGCTAACACCCAAAGCATGGTGAGTGTTGGCAGGAGGGTGGGGACACTCCACATGGGGAAAAGAGCACTCACTCTTTGCAAGTGTTGTGGTACAGCATTCTAGGGGGAAAATTCTAAAATTCTCCCACACTTTTCCACAGGCAAGGGTCATTCTAGCAGACATCTCACTGCTAAGGGTAAGCAGGGAAACAAGGGCACATCTACTCCATGCTTGTGGCTTCCACCGTGCTCCCTTTGCTGCTCGCCTATGTGCTGCTTTGGTTCCTGCACAAGTGATTGCCAAATGGTGCGGGAAAGTTTCCTACAATGGGGGAAGGAACAAAGCTGCTCTGCCACGGAACCTTCAGTAGAGGATTACCGAGTACCTTCAGGAAACTTTCCTGGAGATCTCTCTGGAGGATTCCCATGAGATCTCAGAGTGCATCAACACTCTGTTCCACCATACCAATTAGCTATACAGGGAATTGTCCAGCTCACAGAAACACAGCCAGCCTCCCACGTTTCTATACCTTGAACCCACCTCCACACTACACAAGCCACAGCCACTTACCAGGCATCTCATCTCCTGCTTCTTGCTCCCCAGAGAGCAACTGCGGAGATTGACTAGACACCTCTGGAGTGGAGAGCAGTTCCTGGCTGCCTGCCCCACCAGCAGCTGCACATCCTCATCTAACTCCACCTCTTCATCAATAACTTAGTCCTCCGGGTTAGGTCCTCTTTCTGCCGCCTCCGTGCCCTCTGAAGTATCCACAGGGCTCTTGGCAGTGGAGGTTAGGTCACCACCAATGATAGTGTCCAGCTCCTTCTAGAACCGGCAGGTTTTAGAGGAAGCACTGGAGCGGTTTGCCTTCCTCGCCTTATGGTACACCTGCCTCAGCAACTTTATTTTTGCTGTGCACTGCAGTGTGTCCTGATCATAGCCCTTTTTGCACAAGCCTTGAGAAATGTGCCTGTAGGTATCCTAATTCCTATGGCTCAAGCGCAGCTGGAACTGCACAGCCTGCTCTCCCCATATACTGAGGGGAGAGCTCTGCAGTGGTCCAAGCGGGAGAGCGTTTGGTGCAATAACCCTCCATGGTCACCTGGGAAGATGCAATGAGACCTCTCCACTCCGAGCCAGCAGGAAATGGATTTTTTAAAATTCCTGGGCTTCTAAGGGGGAGGGGCGGATGGTTGTTTACCTGGCTGCAAGGCAGTGGAGTTCAAACTGCTGACCAGAGCGGTCAGGATCAGCATTGTGGGACACCTCCTGGAGGCCAATTAAAGTGATGAAATCAAGCATAGCGTCTACACTTGCATTTTGTTGAGAAAAATATAGAGGAAAAAGATGTAAGTCTCTCACCAGGGTGGATGTATTTAGTCGCCAAAACCGGACACTTTTCCCGACAAAAGTCGCATTGCAGTGTGTACACACTCACTGTCTGGTCGACAGAAGGCAGTTTTGGTGACAAAACTTGGTAGTGTAGACAAGGCCTAAGTTTTCAGTGACTAAATACCCCCCTTCTTTCACATCCAGCTTGCTAGGAAACATCACCCCTTCCTCCTGGGTGAGGACCTGGCCACAATGATCCATGAAGTTGTCACCTCTGCACCAGATTACTGTAATTCACTGCATCTGAAGTTGATTTTAAAAACAATGCAAAGGCTCCAACTGCTATAAAATGTGGCTGTCTGCCTTCTCCATGGTTCAGGCTGCTATGAACACATCAAGTCCATGCTCCAGTGCCTCCACTGTCTCCCAGTCCACTTCCAATGTCAGTTTAAGGCTTTGGTCCTAATCCTCAAAGCAATAATGGATCAGTTCCAAGGTACATTGTAGACCTCATTTTAATCTACGAACCATCAAGATAGCATGCTCCTCTGGGGCAATGCAGATCATAAAGCCCAGAATAAAGTGAGCGATATCTGGAGACAAAGCATTCTCAAGTCCAAGGGATATGGTTCTGGAACAAACTTCCAGAGGAGATTAGATGAATTCAGGGTTTTATCATCTTTAGGAGGCATTGCAAAAATTGATAGTTTTTCCAGCATAACAAGAATGACATTTGCATCATCAGCCACCACACCCACCACCCTCAAAATTATCCCATCTACCTTAAACAGAGCTTTCTATAACTAAAAAGGGAAAAGAACCAGAGATGACAAGAATTCCCTTAGAGACTTCGCTATTAATTTATTCTACATGGAAGGAGTTCACATGCGAAGGGGCAGCACTGCAAAACCCTAAGATAGATAAGACAGGGATTTAATGCATTTACTCAGTCTCTATAGATATCAGAAAGCTAAGTACATTATAAATTGTAATTGTTTTACAAATTGTTTGTCCTAAAGCATTTCCCAAAATAATTGTGTCAGTCTTCATTTACTTTCAGTAGTTACCAGACCTTGACCCCATCCTGTATTTCAGACCAAAGCCCTATGATCACTTATTTAAACCAGTTACCTATTAGGGCCTCAATGTTTGGGATGGCCCTTTATTAAATACATACATTTGCCTCATTAGCAAATTGGGCTTAGTGCAGAGTTGCTGATATGACAGGCAAGATCAACTCAAGAACACACTTCAATGGGAAGATAGTCTTGCCTTTCAAATGAGAGACTTTAGAAGTGTAGAACCAGGCACTGTCCTCCAAATTCATTGCATCAGTTCAAAACCCAGCAGTGGAGATACACAGTTTGCATTCTGGAGAAGCAAGAATGCCTAAAGTAGCCCAGTCTGTGCCTGTGATCCGCACCATGTGGTGATCAGCAAAAAGTAGGTTATGTTTCTGTATGAAGTATGAGGAAAGGGACTAAAAATACAGTGAAGAAGTGAATTGACCCCACACCTCACTTTATTCCATAAATGAAAAGACAGTAAGGTACTCAATGAAACAGGAGCATACAAACAGCAGAATTCACTGCTGCACAAGAGCAAATAATCAAATTCTATGAGGGGAATAATTTTGACTGTAAGAAACGGCTGTAGATTTCCAAGGTAAGTTAATTATAAGAGTATTCACCATGTCCTGCTGCAGTGAATAGGCAGATTGGCTGTAAGGGTCAGGAATGAATTTCACCATCACCTACAGTACAGAATAACCACCAGTATCTTATAAAGGGAGGTATTATAGTCCTCTGAAGCAGCAAGTACTGGCCAGTGCCAAAGACGGGACACTGAACTCTCTTGACAAATGGTCTGATACAGCCAGAGATAAGAACACCACATTAACTGGAGTAACTCTTTGATCCTGGGAGGTGGACTAGGAGAGCAGAATGGGATCAGCAGTCAAAAATTCTGGGTTCTGTTCAGGCTCTGACATTGACTCAATGTGTGATTTCAGGTCAGGCACTTCACCTTTTGGTTCCTCTATTAACCCAGCTATGAAAAGGGGATAATACCTACATTTGTAAGGCACTGGGTTTCTCAGCTGAAGAATGCTACATTAGCTGTACCAAATGGTCTGATCAGGTATGTGCCTATTCAGTTGGAGGCAGAAAGGTTAAAAATAAATAAAACTCAAGTGTCAGAGGCAGAGATTTCTCTGGGTGTGCTGCTCCCTGACACATTTTGTATTAATCCCCACTGTGCACAGCTGTGACTCAGTGGTAAGCATCAACCTTTACATCCCTCCCCATTATTCTGCATCTTTAGGCTATGAGTTGCATTAATGACACACACGTTCCTTTTAGCATGTTCACTCCTCTAACAGCTCAGATCAAGTTGCCAGTTGTCTCAGGCCCTCACATCCCAAACTCTGTGCCTCTACTCAACATTCCTGATCTGCAGTGGCAAAGGGTGGAAAGGAAAACATGATTCAGGAAATTTTATTAGCAGACTGCTCCACAGACATCAGGAGAAACAACTAACGATTCTGACTAGTGAGAGCTTATCTGGTGAATAAAAGCTGATAACACATTTTAGCTAACAAATATGACTCAAAAAATTGAGAGGGGCCCAATCACTTCGGGGGGCAGTCGTGGAGGACAGCTAGAGACCCAGTAATGGGGAATTCAGCCCTGGGTGCTAGGGTTAGGGAAATAAGGGTGGAACACATAGCAAGGAGCAGAGACTCAAGGAGGTTTGTGACTAGAAAGGACCATTAATTGTAAATGCCTTCTCCAAACATGCCCTTAAGAGCAAAGGCTTGTTGCTCCCTGCAAGGTGGTCAGTTCATCTGCACAGAGGGCACTAGCTAGAAGCCTATGGTGCTTTCACTCAGAAGCATCGACAGACGCAAACAATGCATGAGCTTTTCAACAAACAAAACAACAAATCACGTAAGAAAAATACCATCTTGGTTTATTGTTTAAAAACCTTGGTAAAACAAACAGAAAAGAACAGAGAGCAGGAGGCTGATGCCCATTCCATCTCCCCAGCTAAGACAAAATTCTCCAAAAACGGACAGCACGAGCCCCCAGGCTCAGACTGAGCGTTTGGGATTGAGGGGGGCCCTAGGAAAAAGGTCTCTACACTGTGGTAGGAGTACGAAAGTTCATCTTTTCAGCTTCAGGCGCCACTTCCCGCACCACAGAACAGAATGAATTCTTCCGGGTTGTCAGTGAGGGGAAAGGTCTTCCACTTAGGGTATGTGATTCACCCCGAATTCTCTATGGATGTGTAAAAGAGCCTGGGCTAGGGTAGGGAAAGGTGTCTGGAGGTTACAATGGAAGTGGGAATGCACCACACCAGGTATGGCACAGCCCCCTGCAACCAACCCCTGCACCCTCTGCTCCAAAGTAATTTGAGCCCCAGGTAAAGATCTAGATAGGGAGTTTGGGACAAAACCAAATATGGCAAATAGCTGTGGTTCTTGTTAGCAGATACAGAACGAAGCTACTCCAGAGTAAGACAAAGGCTACACTCTGAATACATTCTCCCCTCCCTGCTCCACCAGGTTGGACCCAGTCTCACCCCTTCCCCCAGTCTCAACCCTAGAACTGGTCTTGCCTCTCCAAACACAGGAACTTAGGATGGCTGGAAAAGCTGGCAGGAAGTGTACCTCACTGCAGGTTTCAGTGGACTTTTGCCTGAGCAGATGGCCAAGGACACATTGAGTGGTGCTGATGAAGGGGACAGGGAGATTCTAGGCACTGCAGCACTGACTCCCATCTCTCTGGCTGGAGCCTGAGCTGTACTGAGAGGAGTTGGTGAAGCCACTGCAGACTGGGCTCTGAAACTGGTTGTATGGCAGCAGCACAGAGACCATGGTGTGGATCCAAGTGTCACATGAATTTCCATTTGCCCTACTGATGAGAGTCAGAGCCCTGAGGGATTGGAGAGGGTAAGGAACAGGTTTCACTGCTCTGTGCCTCCATAGGTAGCCAGCCTGCCCCGGCAACGCTGCTCCTGCTGCCACATGCGTCAAATATAAAGGGGAGGTCCAAAAAGAGACCTTTTACTGGCTCATGTGTATCCCAGTCATCTCCACCAAGCACCAACGTCTTAATAGGGACCGCCCCACAGTTCAGAGTCCAACAACTCAGCCCTCAGATCTCGACATCACTTTCTTTATCATTATCGTGGTCACCATCATAGAACTCATTAGAAGCCTCAGGCCTGAAAGACAGACAAGAACATAAGGACAGGCAGCCTTTTCCAGGATTTTCAGAAGAGCGGAGTTTGTCTAGACACAGAGATGAGAACATGTTGCTAGAAAAAGGGAGGGAGGGACACATCTCCTCGCCTAGCAGACATAGGATATGTCCTCTGAGGCATGTAACCATGTGCTAGTAGAGAAGTTTCTCTGGATAAGAACCAGAGAATCAAAAGGGATGCAATATCTACTCTGGGATGTAGACAGTCCCCACCATATCTCCCCTCACTGGGATGTGGTGAACAGGAGAGAGGAGCCTCTTTCCCAGCTCATCAGAACAAGAAGAACGGGAGGCCAAGTACCTGTTGTAGTTCTCCTCAGAGCCTCTCTCCTCTGGATCAGGCTCGTCTGCACGGTCATAACTGAGCAGGTCAGAAGGAACATCATGGATCTGGACACTGGGAGCATGGTTCAGCATTTTCAGATTCTCAAATATTGTCTGTCTGATTTGATCCAAGTACTGGTTAGGAACAGAAGGAGCAGATCAGCTTAGCTAGATTGAAGAGACAGTACCACAATTACTGGCATTAACACCTGCCTGCACCATGCATGCCCTAAGGCCACGCAAATGCCATCAATGCAAATGGCTTTAAACTGTAGCATAGAGCATAATATACTCAACATAGGCACTGAGGGCTTGTCTACACTTAAAAGGATGCAGCTGTGTCCCTGTAGTGCTTCAGCAAAGAAACTACCTACGCCGACAGGAGGGCTTCTCCCATTGCTGTAGGTCAGTGGTTCTCAACCAGGGGTACGTGTACCCCTAGGGGTTTCCAGAGGTCTTCCAAGGAGTATACATCAGCTCATCTAGATATGTGCCTAGTTTTACAACAGGCTACATAAAATGCACTACTGAAGTCAGTACAAACTAAAATTTCAATGACTTGTTTATACTGCTCTATATACTATACACTGAAATGTAAGTACAATATTTATATTCCAATTGATTGAGTTTATAATTATATGGTAAAATGAGAAAGTAAACTATTTTTCTGTAAGAATGTGCTGTGGCACTTTTGTATTTTTGTGTCTGATTTTGAGTTCTGTATTAAGCAAGTAGTTTAAATGAGGTGAAACTTGGGGTACACAAGACAAATCAAGACTCCTAAAAGGGGTACAGTAGTCTGGAAAGGTTAAGAGCCACTGCCATAGGAGTTATCCACCTCCCTGAGAGGCAGTAGCTATGTCAACGGGAGACTTCTCTGGTCAATCAGCGCTAGTCTACACTGGGAGTTAGGTCGGTGTAACTGCATTGCTGAGTGACCTAGTTATAGTGACATAAGTCTGACATAAGACCAAGCCTAAGACTCAGGGCAGGCGCTTCAGAAGTGGAAAGGAAATTGTAAGAGGACCTTCAAGTTTCTCAAATATGAAGTATCTTTGGAGAGCTCCCTACATCTCAAAGATGCTGTGAGGCTGCAAACATAGGTGCCCACTCCATAGAGAAAAATTAGCGGGTGCTTAGCATCCACTTGCAGCCAAGCTTCCCTCCCTCCAGCCGCCCCGGCCAATCAACTCCTCCAACAACTCCAGAACAGCAGGGTGTGCAGGAGGCGCTGGGAGGGCGGGGTTACCTAGGGAGGTGGTGTAATCTCCTTCTTTAGAGGTTTTTAAGGTCCGGCTTGACAAAGCCCTGGCTGGGATGATTTAGTTAGGGATTGGTACTGCTTTGAGCAGGGGGTTGGACTAGATGACCTCCTGAGGTCCCTTCCAACCCTGATATTCTATGATTCTAGGAAGGAACGGGGACGGGGCACGCTCAGGGGAGGGGCGGAAAGAGGCAGGAAGAGGTGGGGCGAGGGTGGAGCGGGGGTGGGAAGAGGCAGGGTGGGGGCTTGGAGGAAGGGGTGTGGTGGAGGCAGGGAAAATTAGAAGCCGGCGCCTGTGGCTGCAAAGAAGAAAGCATGTTGTCCAACACTGTGATGAGCAGGAAAGCCTCTTGTTGCCCTGCCCTGGCAAGTTTTTCCTGGGTGAGCTGCTGGCTGAACTCCACCTGGTTTCACAGGATCTAGCATCAAGCACAGACCTTTTCTTTTTAGACTACACCACATGGCTATGTTAGCTGATGCAGAGTAGCGTGTCCGGGACAAGGCCAGAGCCACTCACCTGTCTAGAGTTCTGGTTCTCAATTCTTGTACTGACATCTGGGTGGAGGGTGAAGTCTGGAGCAAAGTACTCGAAGTATTCTGCGAGGGAACCAGTAAAGAGTTAAAGAACAGGGGCGAGGGGAGTTTGAAACTAGTTTTTCTGAAACACTGTTCTGCAGAGATAGGAACAGCCTACCCTACATCATTCTAGCTGTCACCATACCATCAAGAGCACAGTGAGAGCCAACTCCATCATCATGAGGGGTATGCTGCCAGAAAGAAAAGAGAAAGCAACAGGAACATTGTGTATGGAATTTAGAACACATGATACTGTAATGCAGATATGTCTGTCCAGTGAGGCCCACCACAGATGGGGGATGTGTACAGTAGGAAGCAAGAAAGTTCAGGAACACCTCGGTTAGGATCAGAAGATACTACTGCTTCAGCCCCACTCTGGTTAACATTAATTAACATAGGTGTGGAATCCAGCTAAAGTCCCTGATGCATTAGAACGTCGAAGCACATTAGCTAAATTTATGAAGAGAGTGGGGAAACTCACATTAATTTATTCCAAGGCTAAAAGGAACCATTGTGATCAACTAGTCCAGGGGTTCTCAAACTGGGGGTCGGGACCCCTGAGGGGGTCAAGAGGTTATTACATGGGGGTTCGCGAGCTGTCAGCCTCCATCCCAAACCCCGCTTTGCCTCCAACATTTATAATAGTGTTAAAGTGTTTTTAATTTATAAGGGAGGTCGCACTCAGTGGCTTGCTATGTGAAAGGGGTCACCAGTACAAAAGTTTGACAACCACTGAACTAGACTGACCTGCTGTATAACAACATAGATCAGAGACTTTCCTAAAATAATTCCTAAAGCAGATCTTTTAGAAAAACATTCAATCTTGATATAAAAATTGCCAGTGATGGAGAATCAACCACAATTCTGGCAAATTGTTCTAATGGTTAATTACTTTCACTGTTAAAAAATTATACCTTATTTCCAATCTGAATTTGTCTCATTTCAACTTCCAGCCACTGGATCGTGTTATACCTTTCACTGCTAGACTGAAGAGCCCATTATCAAATATCTGAACATACCCTCCAGGTATTTATAGACTGTAATCAAGTCATTCCTTAACCTTTGTTAAGATAAATAGATTGAGCTCTTTGAGTCTATCACTATAAGGCAGGTATTCTAATCCTTTAAGTCATTCTTGTGGCTCTTCTCTGAACATTCTCCAATTTATCAACCTCCTTCTTGAATTGTGAACACCAGAACTGGATACAGGATTCCAGCAGCCATTACACCAGTGCCAAATACAGAGATAAAATAACCTCTCTACAATCATTCAAGATTCCCCTGTTTAGGCATCCAAGAATCACATTAATCCTTTTGGCCACAGCATCGCACTGGGAGCTCATGTTCAGTTGATTATCCAACATGACCCCCAAATCTTTTCCAGAGTCACTGGTTCCCAGGATAGAGTCCCCCATCCTGAAAATATGGCTTACATTCTTTGTTCCTAGATGTATACATTTACATTTAGTCATATTAAAATGCATAGTCCTTGCTTGCACCCAGCTTTCCACGCAATCCAGAGCACTCTGTAACAGTGACCTCATCCTTTTCATTATTTACCACTCCCCCAATGTGTGTGTGTCATCTCCAAAATTTCTCATCGATGATTTTATGTTTTTTTCCCAAGTCATTGATAAAAATAGTAAATAGCGTAGAGCGAAGAACAGATTCCTGTGGGACCCCACTGGAAACACATTCATTCAATGATGATTCCCCATTTATAATTGAGACTTGTCAGTTAGCCAGCTTTTATTCCATTTAATTTACGTTGATTTTATATCTTTCTAATCCAATGATACTCAGACTGAGGCTTACAAGCTGCAAGTGGGCTCTTTAATATGTCTCCTGCAGCTTTTTGCAGCACATGATATTAAAACACTGTGTGATTTAATTATTAACCAATCAAAGGCTAGGTCTACACTACCCACCTGAATCGGCGGGTAGAAATCGACCTCTCGGGGATCGAATTATCGCGTCTCGTCGGGACGCGACAATCGATCCCCGAATCGACGCTCTTACTCCACCAGCGGAGGTGGGAGTAAGCGCCGTCGACGGGAAGCCGCGGAGGTCGATTTTGCCACCGTCCTTACAGCGGGGTAAGTCGGCTGCGATACATCGAATTCAGCTACGCTATTCGCGTAGCTGAATTTGTGTATCTTAAATCGACCCCCCCTGTAGTGAAGCCGTAGCCTAAGTTATTAACCAAGCAGGATGCTTTTACTATGTTATCAATCAGTTTTAGTTGATACAATAAATACTTGGTCAGTCATTTTGATGTGAGAAATAATATATATATGATTAGAACAGTGATATTCAGGCTCTGATTCAGGAGCCAAATTAGCAATCAGCATTACCCAAAAGAGCCACAGTCATGTGAATTCATTATTTCATTTACTATAGTATTATCTATTCATATTTAAATGTGGAAATATTGGGGGGGAGGAGGTGCGACTGTGGCTCTTTTGGGCAATGCTGATTGTTAATTTGGCTCCTGACTCAGAGGCCTGAGAAACACAATGTTCTAATCAAAATGTTGTGTATTACCAAGTTAAATGCCTTATAGATGTCAATTACATTAACATTATTTATCTTTATCAAACTTGTAATCTCATAAAAAAAAAGAAATTATGTTAGTTTCATAGGATCTATTTTCCATAAACCTATGTTGATCGGCATTAATTATAATACCTTTCTTTAATTCTTTATTAAAATAGTCCCATATCAGCTGCTCTAATTTCTTGCCTGGGATAGATGTCAGACTGACAGGCCTATACTTACCCAGGTCATCCCACTTACCCTATTTAAATATTGGCACAACATAATAATCTGTAACAAGATGACGCTAACTCACCACTGTATGGGAGTTCCTCACTAATTGCTTCATCCACAAGCAGCGACGTTTCATAGGTCCTAAAAACACAGAACATTCTACTCAGTCCAGTAAAGATCGACTTTTCCCCCATTACCCAGTACTGGCAGTCAGCCTGAAACTCAATGCCAGTTACAGCTGCATAAAGGCCCAAAGGAGCACAAGCGTTGATAACCCTCATGCCATCTGCAACAAATAGGACATTCTCCAGCAAGCATGTGAAAGACTCACCAGCATCGTGCCACATTACGAACAGTATAGCCACCTCCTCCCAGCACCAGAAGGGGGATGTTGAAACTCTTTACGTACTCCACACACTCCCTAAAATCCCAAAACAGAAGGGAAACCTGTGACTGTTAGCAGCTGATCTAAGTTCATCAATGCAGCACCATGCTCAACCCAGTAACATACCTAACTGTATGATACACAGAGTTCAGGGCTCCCATCAGTGAAACCCAAACCTTGCCCTGATGGGAGCTGTTCTCATGGCTTGAGAGAAATCTGACCTCTGTGTTCATGCATTCTGGCAGAGCACTGCCGGAAGAAATGTTGTGAGATCCCAAATCTAGTCTGGGGAATCTGCTTCTGCAGAATTTTACCCCTTATTAGCTCTTCTGAGGAGAGCCTCCTATCCCACAGGGAACTAGATTGCTCTTGTTGAGCTCAAGACTCGCACTGAAGACCCAATGCATTCTTTCACTGACTGCAATGATGGTCCTTTAAATGTTCCATCCACACCCTTGCTGAACTTACCCATGTCCTCTTATACTGAGGTTAAAGCAACCCAGACGGTCACAACCCAGGGAGTCAGCACCGCACTAGGGAAGAGAAAGAGAACAACTGAGTCTTGGCTAAGAAGCATTATTCTCCAGATGCACATCCTAACAAGCCATCAGCATCCCACAGTTATACCCAACCTACCACAGAGCCACAAGCAGCATTCCAGCCAGCCAGCACCCACCTGTCCATATTTCCCCAGGCAGCCACAGATGCACATACTGGAGAGTGCATACCTCCTATCCATTCCCTCTGCAACAGATGCACATAGACCTGCTCTCCTACCTGCAGCACTATGCACGTAGGCTGGTAGTAGTCCACCACCTGGTTAATGACTGGCTGGAAGAGGTGTTTATAACCTTTAGAGAGAAAGACAGATTGTCATCATGGCTCAAGAGGGCAAACAGGGACATTGGGGCGCAGGGAAAGCATTCCACTTACTTTGGTCATCAATGCCATCCCGCAGTGGCACATTGAGGCAGTAATAGCGGCCACTCTCTGCCCCAACCTCGTACATGTCACCTGGCAGAGGAAAGGAGGCAGAGTCACAGCACACAAGGATCAGCTCGGAAACTTCATAGGTGTGGGCAGTATGGACAACAGCAAATCAAGACTTCTGCCAAGGGATCCAACCATGGCATGGAGATCCTTTCCACCTACTCTGCAAACTACCACGGGACCATATCCTTCACCCAGCCTCTCCCCACTCTCCAGAACTCCTTTCTTCAGTCATCTCTCTCTGAAACCAGAGCCCCAGAATTTCACACTACTATGTAACAGCAGTTATTGGGGCCTGAAATCTGCACTTCAGTGGGGCAGTGGAGATTCTGTACCTGTACCAGGGAAGAAGTAGTTCCCATATTTGTGAAAAGATACTGTCATGACACGGTCTGTCAAGTAAAAGGCTTCCTGAACACCATCTCCGTGATGAATATCAATGTCAATGTAGAGAACACGTGGGTGATACCTGCCAGAAACAGGAGACAAAGGCGCATTACAGTCCACTGGTGCCATCCCAACTACAGCAACCACTTTGCTATGGTTTCCTAAAATCCAACCCCCATAAAACAAGCCTGTAATATGTCAAAGGCCTTCCGGCTCAGCAAGCCTCTGGAGGTCTCTGGAGAATATCTCTGACATTAGACCATAAGATAATGTTTGTGTAGAGCATCTTCCATACAAACTGTACTTTAAAATACTCTTGTCTGTTATATTAAGAGGCATGAACAAGGAACAACAGGTTTTAAGAGCAGACTAGAGACACGATGGAAAGCACATGAAAGAGAGAGATGCAGTGGGCTCGTTCAGACAGCAAAGGCTGCAGAGAAGATTCTTGCATTGGCAGCAGCAAGATTATGCAAAGGATCAGGAAGGAGGCCACTGGCGAAGACGCAAAGTGAGAGGAACCAGCGATGAGGCTGGGTAGTGCAAGTCCATGAATTGACTGACTTGTACAGTCAGAGAAGTTTAGAAAGCACTTTATGTACAAAAGTCTTTGCCATGAAAAAATTACAATCTAGTTAATCTTTAAATGCTCCTGAAATGAATGGGGAGTAAAGTAATTTGAAGATGGAAGCAGTTGTTCTTCCCTGTATGTGCCACAGCACTGGCATCATCACTCTCCAGTGCTGGAGTCTGGAGAGCCAGGACTTGAGGAGGTCAGGGGAATGAAGTGCAGTCATCCAGATGGAGGCATGAACGTGGATCTCAGCCACGGTGGGCAGAAGGACATAGTGCCCAGGGGCATTGTTGCATAGATGGCAACAGGCAGCATTGCAGAGACAGGGAATGTGGAAAAAGGAAAGTTGAGTGAAGGCTGAAGCCAAAGTTACTGAGAACGGAGGTCCGAATGCAGGGGAGAGAAAGGAGATGCAGCTGGGCTTGAGAAGTGTCCTCTTGCCAAGTGGACATTCAGGGGAATGCAGGAGAGTTGAAATTACTGGGCAATAAATTTACTAGGTCCGTCAGGCAGAGGTCAGATAAGGAGAGGTCATTTAAAGCATCAAAACTTATATGTCCCCACTTTTAATGTTAAAGAGAGAGGGGACATAACCCTCACCAGAGCCAACACCCTGTTTGAGATGAGGTGACTAGTACTGCAGTAACATTTAGAGGCGGCAAACCTTAATTAATCCAGAAAATATTAGAATGCCTTTCTATAATTCTCCATCCCATTCCTTATGAGTTTAGACTTTTTTTTGAACCACAATTGCATTTTTTTGACCAAAGTGGAGGTCCCCATTATGCTGTCTCCAGTGATACCCAGATCCCTTTCCTGAGGAAATATAGTTAAATTTAGAATCCAGAAAGATTCACATGTAGTTCAAATTTTTCCTTCCAAAGTGCAACACTTTGAATTTATCACAAAGAGCTTAACAATGGCAAGAACTATACACACAGTAAGCCTCACAAGGGCCCTGTGAAGTAGAAAAATATTTCACAGATGGTAAATTGAGAAAACAATCAACAAAGCTAGCACCAGATATCCTTATTCTCAGTCCTCTGCCTTAACTGAGAACTATTCCTGCTTCTGAGGATGAGAACAGGACAGTAAGTCAAGAACTGAGTGTTTGGGACTCTGCAATGGCAGGGTCTTGGCAGAGAAGCGAAGCTACCAGTAGAGATAGAGGCTGGAGATGTAAGAGCAGAATCATGCCAGGGACACGCCTGAACAGCTGTTAGGAAACAGAAGACACCTGAAACAGAGACTGTCCAGGGCAGCCAATGATCAGCTATGTCTAAGGCACAACTGAAATTAAGGAGAACAAGAAGGGAAGAACTCTCTATCAGCAGAGGGGATCCTATTTATGATGTGGAGAAGGGCAGTGTCCATACTACAACCACATCACACAGGGCGTCTTTCACAGCATTACCCTCCCAGAGCATCACTTCTAATCCAAAACAGTATCACAGTGCACTCACACCGAGTCCTTACTTGAGCAGCTCCAGAATGCCGATAACTATGTCATTGACGTAACAAAACCCAGAAGCCTGCAGTGCAAAGAAAAGAAAATGGAGTCAAAAGAAGAGCAGCAATGAGCCCAACTTTCAGTGAGACAGAAATATTTAGACTTGTGTCATTACCTCAAACTTCTTGGCATGATGCAGGCCTCCAGCCCAGTTTATTGCAATATCACAGATCTAAGAAAGGAAGAGCAGATTAGCTCAAAGATAAGAGCAAGAGAGCAACAACCCCAAACCCAACCCTGCATGTCAGTATGGACATCAGCCCTGCCCCCACATTGTGGCTCACAATTATTATTTTTTCCCCTTTCTCCCCACCCATCCAGTCCCTTCAGATGCCCTGCTATCTGTCATCCAGTCAAGCTACTTAAGCCGTACTAAATCAGTGTTTGCAATCAGTCAGTGTGGGGGCAGGGGGAAATCCAAGAGATCCCCCCACAAATTAACAGACAGGTGACACCGAGTTGGTGTTTTTACAATAAGTATATGTAGTATAGGTTATTTTAGGGACTCCATCCCCCACAGTAGCCAGCTGGCATGTCAGTGGTCAAAGAGGACAAGCATATCAGCTCAGAGTTACCTTGTTGTTCAGTTGCGTTGCTCCCTGCAGTGAGGCCCCAGTATAGCGAGAGCAAAATTCGAAAAGGCCTGGGAACACTGGGCTGCAAAAAGAGAACACAAAATTCAAACAGAACAGAACCTTCCAACTTCAGATACACGTCTCCAGGATTGAGACCAAAACAAAACTCTCAGTGACCATTAGACAAAGAATATCAAAATGCAGTCTCTGCTAGAGAAATGTTAATTCGGGGTCATTCTGACCCTGTTCACTACAGACTACATACCAATAGGCAACATTACACCATCCTTTGCAAACACTATGGAAAACTTGGCGGATTTGATAATAATTACAAGAAACTTTCGAGTTAGTCTGGAACAATCTTGTTCACCATATACTCCAGATCTGGAGAATGGGAAACATACAGACTAAATCCTGCCCTCTACCATGCTGATGCATATATGGGGACAGGTCCTGGAGAGAGAAGACACAAGGCATCCTGTGTAAGGGAGAGGGCAGGACTTCACAACAAAACAACAACAGGGAACATAGCTGTCCAAGACATCTACTCACACACCATATTCCCATGGGGTTGTAATCTGTTAGTTTGAAGATGCTCCCCAGCCATTCATCTACCTAGTGAATAGACTGCTGTGAGCAATAAATTGTATCCAGGGATGCACAATGCTCTTGCTCAGAGTAGCAAAGTATGTCTCATCTCCATCGTGCAATCCCACTCTAGCCAGCAGGCTCGCTATGGCAGAAGAACTCCTTTACTCATTTTCAGTGACTCACAGCATGCACACATTAACAAGTGCAAGTCATAACATATCAATGTGCGCACACAATCTACCAGAAATAAAATATAGACCTCAAATCTCTTGCTTCTATGTGTTTCACTTGTTAACAGGCCCCAGAGCTTGTACCTGACCACACTGTTTTCACAAAAGTAGAACTATAGTCAAATTAACCCAATGAGAGGATTGGCTGAGGGAGAAAGCAAATATCACTGCCACAGAAGTGTAGGCCAGGGAGGTGTGTGAAAAATGTGTTATATGGCCACCAACGGAGAGCAAGAATGACAGATCAGCTCACCCTAAAGTAGGTGGCAGCCTGACCTGTGTCTACAGCACTTTGTAGTCCTGCAAATAGCTGAAACTCCCAGCAGACTGTGTATTTAAGAACACTGGGTTTGTTCAGTTTGGAGAAAAGGAGATTATGGAAAGGCAAGGATAGCAGCCTCTGCCTCCCACAGCTAAATCTCATCACTTCTCATCCTGTCCTCACTAATTAGTGGGAATACTAGTATATAGAGACTGTACTGTTATCCTATTATTTATTGCTTGAGGTCAAGATTTTCAAAATTGACTAGTGATTTGGGGTGCAAAGTTTGAGACACAGATTTTCAGAGTTTATCTGCACTTTCTGAAAGTCAGAACCTTTAAGCTGTCTCAAGTTTGGCACCCAAAAAACGGAGGCAACCAAAATTAGCCACCTTTGAACATCTCTGCCCAAGTTTTCAGGAACTAAGACCCTCACGAAACCAAGTAAAGTTACAGTCCCTACCATAGAGCTTACCATCTAGATTCAGATCTAACAACTGAAACTCAAAGAGATTAAAAAGAGGAGGGAGAGGAAGAAGATTTACAGCAATAACAGTTACTCAACAAACTGTTTGCAACATCTTGATGGCTCCATTAGACTGTAGGGCTTTTTTAGTTAAAAATGTAAAATTAATACCACACTGTATTGGAACCATTATGATGCACCCATACCACACCAAGTAATCACATGAGATTACTGTAACCCTTGTGCTTCCCATTCACCTGCTAGGTGCTAGATACTCACCAGTCATCACCCACATTGAAGGCATTGAGGCTCTTGGTGAATCCTTGCATGTTGTTGGGACTCACCCTCTGCAGGAAGTCTATATAATCCTCCGAGTGGAAGCGACACATATCATGCTGGGATGCCTGGTATGGTTTAAAAACCTCAAAGAGAAGGACACACAACAGTTATTTCCTGCTCAGAGTTGGGTTTACCTTGGCTACCACAAATCTCACCACCAAATTAACTCCAAATAGACAAATACCCCAAATCACTGTGTCAGTCTAAAAATGCTCAACTATGTGCTCAGCTTAACAAGTGTCTTGCAAATTTTAAATAAAAAGTGGTCAGGAAAGTAGGGATTGATTCAAGAGATGGTGTCCACAACAATATGAATTTGCCATCATTGCATTTTTTCATATTAAAGTACACTTTTAACTAAGTTAACGATCACGAATACTACATATGTACAATGAGAGGAAATTAAGCTGCTCTGAGATTAATCAGAACCTTAAGTTTTGCCTTTCTTTATCTGTCTCTAATTAAAATATATACTTTTAACAAAATTAAGAAATTTTTGCTTTTTAAAAAAATTGGAGAAAGCATGGGCTTGTGTACATGGGGAAATGTATTCACATAACTATACAGGTATAACTCCCCGTGTGGACAGTGTTATTCCGGAATAAGTGTGTCCTCACAGGGAGTTATACTGGTATAGCTATATGGGTATAATTATACTGTTATGATTATTCTGGTAACCTATGGAAACATGCAACTACAGAGCTCTACTGGCAAATACTCACACAAAGAGTTTGTTAAACTGGCCTTAAGATTAAGAAAGTATCAAACTTTTAACCTGAAAGAACGTTATCATTTTAAAAAGAAAGATTAGAGAGCCAGGAAGTTAAACAATTTATATTTAAAAAATCCAAACATTGGAAGTTTGGGAATTCACAGTTAAGGCCCATCAAATACCGTATATACTCGATCATGAGCCGGTTCGTTATAAGCCGACACCCCCGCCCCCCCCCCAAGATGGATAAGTAAAAACGGTAATTTTTTATGACCCATTCATAAGCCGACCCTATAATTCAGGAGTTGGCAAACTTTGGCTCCCAGGCCATCAGGATAAGCCACTGGCAGACCAAGACAGTTTGTTTACCTCGAGCATCCGCAGGCATGGAGGTAAACCTAACAAAGTCTCCTAGCCCGCCAGCGGCTTATCCTGACGGGCCGGGACAGCAACTGGTGGGGAAATTTTTTTTGGGGGGGGGAGAAGCTGGGGGTCAGGGAAATAACCCCCGTGACCACTTCCCACATGACCCCACCCCTAGCCTGGGACCCCCACATTCTCCCCATCCCATCCCTTCCTACCTTAGCTGGGGCGAGCCAGGTGAGGATGTCTCTGGCCTGGCCAGGCAGCGCAGCTGCAGCCTGCTCCACCCCCCCAGCAGCGCACTCACCCCCACCACTGTCACTGCATGTGCTCCTAGGGCCCCTCTCAGGTCCAGGAATCACCCTCGCCTCCCCCGTGGTGGGTGCCGGAGGGTGCTGCGTGCGCCTCCTCCCCTGCTGTTGCCCCTGACTGTAGCCTCACTGGGGGTGAGGGATGGGGCTGCCCATTGCCCAGCATGGGGCAGGAGCGGTGACTGTGGGTGGGGGGGGGGGCCCTGTGCTGCTGGAAGGTCCCATTAGAAAATGAAAGGGTCTGAGGGGGAAGGGCAGGCTCAGAGTCAGTCTGCCCTGTCAGTGGAGATGGGGGGCTCTAGGACCCTGCGGCAGGGAGGCAACATGGAGCTGCACACAGAAGAGACAGGGACACTCTGCTCTGGGGCCTGCTGGTGAAAGGCAAGCCGGGGCAGCAAGTCGGGGCTGTGGGACACTCAGGGAAGGTATGGGGGGGCCGCAGGTGGGGCCAGGGGGGGGACATCTGGCCCCAAGTATTGCTGGAGCTGGGCATCTGTCTCTGAATATTGCTGGTGCCTGAGCACCATGTGGGTATGGAACTCGCCGCCTATGTCTATACCCATTCATAAGTCGACCCCCTTCTCTGATCCTTCCCTTTTTTACTAAAAAAAATTGGCTTATGAATGAGTATATACGATAAGCTATTCTTCCCAATCAGTAGCTCTTCTGTGAAAGGAACAAATGGAGACCAACAAGTATCCTTCTAGCATGGCTGGTTGCTATTTATAAAAATAATTACCTCACAGTTTCAAACAGGTATCCTGAAATCCACATCTGAAATCATGTATTTTTGGAGTTTCCCCTCAACACTTAAGTGGTACACCACCTTTGGCTGTGGACATATTTAATCCATATGACCCACTCATGTTGCAGAGTATATATTTCTGAGGCCAGATGGTACATTGTGACAAATATGATGTGCCTTGTAATAATTTGCAAGAACTGTATGTTGGCTTGGATAAGGAATGGTATTTTCTGTATGAATATTCTGGTTTAAGCGCTTCTCACTAGGAGACTTTCTGGGATGGATCAGGCAAGAAGGAGGCAATGGCTCAAGATAGTCCCTATCAGTTTTCACTTACGCTCATCTTCTTGTAGAGCCCATAGTGAAGCACCAGACTGTGGGTCAGTGCCAAGCGATGAGGCTTCATGGGATGTCCTGCCCCTGGAAAGAAAAAAAGAAGACAGTCAGCGCACACAGTGGATTCAAAGCTAGACACACCACTCCCTGCCCCCCCTCCACACACAGAACCACCTCTTCCTGCCCTTTCCCCACCCCCCAAACAGGACCACCTCCCCCTGCCTTCTCCCACCCCCACCCTCTCCACACACAGGGTCAGCTCCCCTTGCCCTCTCCCACGCCCCCCCCGGCCTACCTCCAGGCCAGGGGTGGGCAAACTACACCCGCGGGATTGCCCCCCTTGAGCCCCGCGCCGGCTGGCATCACGTCCCTGCGGCCGGGGGGGGGGGGGTAGGGGGGGAAGGGGGAGAGAAGCAGAGGGCTCCATCCGTGTGTTGCCCTGGCTTCCAGGCACGCCCCCTGCAGCTCCCATTGGCCAGGAACAGGGAACCACGGCCAATGGGAGCTTCGCGGGAGGTACCTGGAGGAGCGCATTTTTGCCATGCGGAGCCCTGCGTCCCCCTCCCCCAGGGGTCGCAGGGACATGGTTCCAGCTACTTCCCGGAGAGGAGCGGGGCCGGGGCTGGCAGCCTGACCTGGCCCCGGCTCGCGCCGCTGCCATCCCGGAGCCCGAAGCCCTCCTGCACCCTGCCCCCCAACTCCCTGTCCTGAGCCCCCTGCTGCATCCCACACCCCTTCTGCACCCCAACCCCCTGCCCTGAGCAGCCTGCTGCACCCAACACCCCTTCTGCACACCAACTCCCTGCCCTGAGCCCCCTGCCTGCACCCCAACCCCCTGCCCCAAGCCCCCTGCTGCAGCCCACACCCCTTCTGCACCCCAACCCCCTGCCCTGAGCCCCCTGCCTGCACCCAACACCCCTTCTGCACACCAACACCCTGCCCTGAGCCCCCTGCTGCACCCAACATCCCTTCTGCACACCAACTCCCTGCCCTGAGCCCCCTGCTGCATCCCACACCCCTTCTGCACCCCAATCCCCTGCCGCTCCCCACACCCTGCCTGCACCCCAAACCCCTGCTGTACCTCAACTCCCTGACCTGAGCCCCCGCCACACCCCTCATGCACCCTCTGGGGGCAGGGAGGGGGCGGAGTTGGGGTGGGGACTTCGGGGAAGGAGTTGGAATGGGGGCAGGGAAGGGTGGGAAGAGGTGGAGTGGAGGCAGGGCCGGGGGCAGCGAGGGTGTGTGTGTGTCAGTGATGCAGCCCTCGTGCCAATGAACTAGCCCTCATGTGGCCCTCGTGGTCATTTGAGTTTGAGACCCCTGCTGTAGATGTATTTCAGAGGGCCTTTCAAGCCAACAAACTCACCAATACTGCTAGGAACCTGATATATGGACTTTGAAGTCTTTGTATGTATGTGACTGTTTTACCATTTAACATCTCTCTTCTTGGTCTTTCTTTTTTCTTTATAAACCTTTAGTTTTAGACCAGGGGTGGGCAAACTACGGTCCGCAGGACACATCCGACCCGCCAGACGATTTAATCTGGCCCTCGAGCTCCTGCTGGGGAGCAGGATCTGGGGCCTGCCCCGCTCCCGCGCTCCATCCGAGGAGCAGGGTCAGCTCCGTACGGCTCCTGGAAGCAGCGGCACATTCCCCCTCCAGTTCCTACGTTTAGGGGCAGCTAGGGGCCTCCGCGCATTGCCCCCGCAGCTCCCATTGGCCAGGAACTGCGGCCAATGGGAGCTGCAGGGACGGCGCCTGTGGACGGGGCAGCGCACACCCCCAGCTGGAGTCCTCGCCCCCACCGCACCCCAACCCCCTGCCTGGAGCCCCCTCCCTCACCCCAAACTCATTTCTGGCCTCACTCCAGAGCCTGCACCCCCAGCCAGAGCCCACACCCCAACCCCAATTTCATGAGCATTCATGGCACGCCATACAACTTCCATACCCCAATGTGGCCCTCAGGCCAAAAAGTTTGCCCACCCCTGTTTAGACACTAAAGGATTGGCTATCAGCGTGGTATTTTGGGTAAGATCCAAACCTATACTGACCTAGTAATATGGCTGACCCTTTGGGGTCTGAAGAACATTTTGTGTATGTGAGTAGAGTTTTAAAATAACTTCTCACTGTACTGGATCTAGGTGCTGTTTGGGAGCCAGAGAACTGGAATGCAATAAATGGGGCTGTGTGATTTCTTTTTTTGCTTCTTGATAACCAGTGTGGGGGATCAGAAGCACAGTCTGTGACTGGTTGGAGAGTTTAACTTCAGTGTTATCCACCAGTCTTGGGAGTATCTGCTCTCCCTTTTGCAGCCTGCCCTGACCTTGGCATTTCCAATGAGGGCTGCCCCAGGCACCACGGGTCACATTGGCATAGTCTTGGCAGGATCCACAAAACCAGATCATTTGGGTTTTGGATCAGAACCTCATGCTATTCCAAATTTTAAAATTTTGATACTGAAAGTGTTAAAGGTTAATGTTAGTCACAATGAGTGATCCACAATCAAAACTATAAGCCCTGAGAGATAGCCAGCATCTTCAGCGTGAGAGAGAAATGGCAGAACTTTGGATGCAAGAAAAGCAAACCTTGGCCCAGCTGGAAAAAGAAGCTGAGGAGAGAGCCAGAGAATCTCACAGGAGGCAAATGGAGCTGCTGCAAGCTGAGACCCAAGTTGCCAGACTTAAACTCCAAATCAAAATAATGAAAGAACAGCAGGAACTGTGTTCACCTGGAAGCCCAGCTCCTCTCTACAGCAATGATGTCTTCAGAACAGAACAGAATCTGTTCAGTTTATAAGAATGTTGGTATGTTATTTAATAATGATGTGGTAACTATGTTTAATCAGAGTAATGTCATAACCCAGACCCAGAAAAAGTATGAATGTAAATCCTCTATTATTTGTAACTAACAGGGAGATTTTTGAAGAGGGGGTATTTGACTCTAGGCAGTTCCATGTGTTTAACCAGGTATACTATAACAAGGAAGAGTGTGTCTCTAGCCTTGGGATTGTGGAAAATAGCTGTTTGTCCAGTCAGAAAAGCAGTTTATATAGTGAAGAAATTTCTGAAGGTTTGTCTAATATCTCAGAAGTGACGCTGGAATTAGAGGAAGTGCAGAAAGCAGCTCAGGAAAACATTTTTTTAGAGCAAATTAAACTTGATGGTCAGTTTGAAGCCCTGAGGAAGGTAAGGGTAGATTTCTGGTGGGTGATGGATTGCTGGCAAGTGAAATTTGTAAAAGTGAGCCTGAACCAGGTAAAAGTGATGAGACACGGTTTGTGGAAGGCAACAGTTTATCTGTTGAAGGAAAAACTGTTTCCAATTGTTTATCTGTTGCAAATAGCAGTGTGCCTAATGAAGGAGAATGCACCTCCAGTCCTTTGTGGAGCAGACAGAAGGTACCTCTTGGCCTATGATGATTGAGGATATTTCAGTTGTTCCAGAAGTGATTCTGGACTTTACTGAAACCCAAGAAGGAAGTGTTCATAAGCTTGTGTGCGGTAACCTGCATATGGCCAGTGAGAAAAGCTACAGAGGGAAAGAGCGTGCCCCCTTTAACCCTGGAGTGTAGCAGCTTGCCTGAAAGGGGGTTATGTGAAAGTCCTCTTAATGTTCCGGAGATGATCCTGGGTGTAAGTGAAACTCAGAGGGAGTTTGTTGTAGCTCCACAGAGCAATGCTCCCTGCCCGCCGGTCCCCTACCCGCCCAAGGCCCGCTCCCTACCCTCCACTATGGCCCGCTCCCTGCCCCCGGTTCTCTACCCGCCCAGGGCCCGCTCCCCGCCCAGAGCTTAGGACGGGGCCGCGGGCCCCACGCCTCTCACCGTAATGGAAGTTGCCCACGTCCGGGTCATAGAAATAGGCCACGGTCTTAGCCATGGCGCGCCGCCGCCAGGACCCGCCGCCTGCCCGCTCCGCCCACAACCCGTGACATCACCGCGCCGCGCTCCAAGTCCCGCCCCCAACGCCGAGAGCTCGCACGAGCCCACCCCGCCAGGCCTTGCAGAGCCGACGATCCTTGGTTCGCGACCGGTCCCATCCTCCCGCCCCGCTGCAACCAGTTTTTGCGCGCGCAGCTAGAGCGGGTGTGACCCGGCTGTCGTCACGGAGCAGCCTCGGGGAGCTCGTGCCCTCGCGGTTCCCTATACCCCCTGGGAGCGACCAGTCTCGTTCCCGGCACAGCCTGGCGCGACCTTCCCCCACCCCCCCGGCTGGGGAGCCGGAACGAGCTGACACCGGGACGGGCTGCCGGGAGCGCTGCACCCAACGAGGCGCCTTGGGGCAGCTGCGAGCGGGAGCGCGGGATTCAGCTCTGCCTTCCCCGGCCGGCGGCGGCGGCGGCGCTTGGAGGAGAGGCCGTGGCGTCCCCCGGCCGCCTTAGCGTCTCGCTGAACAGCACGGAGAAGCCTTAGCAGGGCCGGCTCTAGGATTTTTGCCGCCCAAAGCAAAAACAATTTTGGCCGACCCCCCCTCGTTTTTTAATTACCCCACCCTCGGCCCCGCCTCAACTCCGCCCCTTCCCCAAATCCCCAGCCCTGCCTCCTCCTCCCAGGCTCTCAAGCCTAGGAGGGAGTGAGGGAGGGGGAGCAGCGGCGCGCGAAACTGCCCCTCCCAGGGCCATGCCGCCCCTAAAAATGTGCTGCCCCAAGCACCAGCTTGTTTTGCTGGTGCCTAGAGCCGGCCCTGAGCCTTAGGGCGATACCGGGGCCATCGCCCCGACTCCGGAAGGCTCAGCAGCAGCCTTCGGGTGAGCGAGGTCGAGCTCTGTCCCAGGGCACAGAGACGGGCAGTGGCAAGGCCACCCCAAGAGCAGAGTGGACGCAGAGTAAAAACGAACATTGCCAATGCAGCCCGGTGCCATAGCCAGGAAATGCCAGTGGATGTGGAGGATGACCAGACAGCAAGTGTGAAAAATCGGGATGGGGGTAATAGGAGCCTATATAAGAAAAAGCCCCCAAAACTGGGACTGCCTCTATAAAATCACGACATCTGGTCACCCTACGGGACATAGAGGCAGAAAGTGTCTATCAATGTCACTCAAAATCAACTCCTACGGGCCCCTATCCAAACTGTTAGAACCCTGCGCAGATACAAAATGTGTATCCACATCCGATCCCCAAACACGGTCCGTGAATATAAAGTGGATATCCACAGATTTGCAGGGCTCTACAAACTGGCGAGGGTTAGGACAGTGAGAAGTCTCTCTGATAATGAAGAGGAGGGCCACAGCAATTGTTAAAAATAAAAATTGAAGCATAGAAGACTTGGAAATCCATCTCTCCCTATGTCTGAGGGCAGGAAAAAAACCAGATAGGCACTAAAGCAGGGACAGAGTCCTTCCCCCCAGAGAGAAAGGCAGCAGTCTCAGCACAAGAGAAGGCCAGCCCCAAAGAAAGATTATCCACTCCAAAACTATTTGAATCAAAGAGAAAAAGGGTTGTAAAAATCTGAGACTCACCTCTTGACATAGCAATTAAAAATCCATTAAAAATATTTTCCTCTATCATGGTAACACCCTGTTAAATAGGGAGAACACCAGTAATGTTACTGTATAATGTTTCACTATACATAAGGTCACTCCTGTAATGTTTATTGTATTGTCTCTGATATTTACATTGATAGTATGTGCAAGCCTGCTAAAACTTCCTAAATAAAGATATACCTTTAAAAAGTAGTATTTTCCTAAAGCTTCGAGTAATAAAAGTTAGCATTATCATTCACTCCAGCCTTTGAGGGCATCTTTGAAAGTGAATGGGAAAATCTTTACATCTCATACATCAAACTTGCCGTTAATGAGGTTCTGTAGACTGCACGAGTCCCAAATGGCTGTTAGTACATATTCAAAGGGCAGATTTTGCAGTGGCTGCAGAAGCCCAGGGAATTCTTGTCTCAACAGAAGGGACTGTCCAAAAGAAGAAATCTGACAGCTCTACAACAAACTAATGAGACGGCTGCTGTCTCAATGAATTTAAGAATCAGTTTCAGGTACCTGCCTTTCTGAAGAGGAGCTTACCAAAATTTAGCAATTCACTGACAAAATCTGCCCACCACAATCCTTTCCTTCTTATGTATGTCAGGATATGCTAATGTTTTCAGCTCCCTTGATGGTATGCAGTATGGAAACAGGCAAGACCACGAAAGGTGAAAATGTTAGGCTCATACAAAATTCTCATTTGGGTCCATGCATTTTGCAATGTCATCCTGTAATCATTAGTCCTTAAGTGGTGTTATCATTTGATGGTTATTGTCCGGTTTCCCATCGTTATCTCCTATTTGTTGTCTCGCCTTTGGGGGTGCCTGCCTCACCTCTGAGGTCGTCAATGCTGCTAACATGTTTAACATCGGATACAATGGATGTTTTCTGATTGTCTCCTGGTCTTTCCAAGTCTCTCACTTCTTCTTGACCATCTGGACATTTGTGATGGCTTTCACACCTTATCTTTTCCTGATGCATGCATTCCTCATTCACACAAACAATCTCTTACAGAAACCTTCAAAGGTATACAGACAGCAGTATTGTATATTCAGCAGAATACATTGTAAATCAAGCCTTGCTAAATCTTATAACTAAAACAATTCACATTGGGGCTTCAGGCTCTCAACATCCCTCTAATCTTAACATAGATACAATAGAGAATCCTGTCTTTTACTTCCTAATTTGTAATACATATAGGAAACCATAGTAACTTTATAACTTATTCTAAAACAAAAGAGTGACCATAATCAGTCATAAGGATTGTTCTGGTCTGTCATTCCTTTCTGCTATTCAAAAAGGGTGGCTGACAGGATGAAATCAAATCATACATTAATTCTCATAGTACATTATAAAATCCAGCTCCTACAGAGACGCATAGGTTCTTACATAAGAATGGCCATACTGGGTCAGACCAAAGGTTCATCTAGCCCAGTATCCTGTCTTCTGACAGTGGCTGGTGCTAGGGGCTTCAGAACAGGAAAATTATCGACTGATCCATCCCATGTTCAATCCCAGCTTCTGGCAGTCAGAGGTTTAGGGACACACAGAGAAGAGGGTTGCATCCCTGACCATTCTGGCTAATAACCATTGATGGGTGCAGTCTGGGAGCTGTGGGAACCGCTGTGCCCCCTAACCAGCCAACTAGGTTGTCCCTTGTCACACTGCTCTGCTGGTGATTCAGCCAGCCTCTCCAGGCCCTGTTATGACCCAACATGACGGCAGGTGGCGCCACACACTCACTTGAGCTACGAGAGTCATTCAAGGACAAACGGGGGACAACAGCCAATTTCCCAGCTCCCCAGCCTTGCCCCCTTGCTGTAGACAGTACAGGGGTAGGCAACCTATGGCACGCGTGCCGAAGGCGGCACACGAGCTGATTTTCAGTGGCACTCTCACTGCCTGGATTCTGGCCACCGGTCCGGGGGGCTCTGCATTTTAATTTAATTTTAAATGAAGCTTCTTAAACATTTAAAAATCCTTATTTACTTTACATACAACAATAGTTTAGTTATATATTATAGACTTATAGAAAGAGACCTTCTAAAAACGTTAAAATGTATCACTGGCACGTGAAACCTTAAATTAGAGTGAATAAATGAAGACTCGGCACACCACTTCTGAAAGGTTGCCGACCCCTGCGTGTAGTATATACCCAGAATTATACTGTCTGGGATCTGTACAATGCAAGCTCATTACTTTTCCCTGAATGTGTGAAAGATATGCACCAAGCCTGTGTTAACCAAGCTGAGATTTTTCTCAGACACTTCACTTAAAGACACACTGGTTAAGATAAAACAAGTTTATTAACTACAAAAAGATAGATTTTAAGCGATAGCAACCAGATCAAAGCAGATTACCTAGCAAATAAACAAAAATGCAAACTAAGCAATTTCTCACCTTGATGGATGATACCAGCAGTCTACCAAGTTTCCATACACAGGCTAGAAATCCCTTTAGTCTGGGACCAGCACGTCTCCCAGTTGAGTCTTTGTTCCTCAGGTGTTTCCAGGAGTTCTCTTGTGTGGGGGGGTGAGGCCACAAGATGATGTCACTCCCCACCTTATATAGTTTTTTCCATATGGCGGGAACCCTTTGTTCCAAGCTAAGTTCCCAGCCCAGTTTGTGGGAAAATAGAGGCACCAAAATGGAGTTCAGTGTCATGTGTCACATGCCCTTGCATGCCTTGCTGAGTCATAGCAGCCATTACTCATCATCTGGCTGAAATGTTCACAGGAAGGCTAAACTCTTCCATGGTCCATTGTCTTTGCTGATGGACCATTGTTAGAGGGCTTTCCTTTCACCCCCTCCCTTGGTTCTTGTCACAGAGACAGAAAGCAGAAGATCAGAACTCCGAAGTGCAGGCAATGCAATGTTTATTGGAGTCAGTTCAAAGCAAGCACATCCATAGCGCTACACACTGGCAGAATTTGTTTTCCAGTGTTCCGTTCCCAGTTCTGACACCACGTAGCGTTTACCCCATGTCCCCCTTCCCAGCTGTGATGCTGCAGAGCCTTGCTTGTGCCTCCATTCCCACCTCCTCCTTCTTACCAGGCCGAAATACAACTGCAGTGCACACACCTAGTCACACCCTTTACAATTGATGGTTCTGTTCCATTTTGAAGGGTCGTGAGTCGGGGGTCTTTGTCCCACCTTTTTTGTATTCCATGAGAGGGGTAATGAATGAGGTTGTATTTTGGCCAAGGCCAGGCTTTTTTTTGGCTTTTAGTGTTTTTTATGCCTCTTCCCACCACCCACCCACCCCCATCTCCCTTGCCCCTCCTAACTGGTTGCTTGATCTTGGCTTGAGAAAGCAGCCAGGCAGCATTCCAGTGTATGCTTATATATTACACTTCCACCATACCCTGCAACACTTTATTTGTTTCCATTATACTAACAAACCCATATCGCTAGGCAAAAACAACATACAGTGTTTTT